TTATATATATATATATTTATTTGAAACGTCTTGGTATAAATGCAAAAGCAACATAAATACTTTCACAGCAGCAACTTTTTCTTTTATATATTTGGTGCGCTCTTTCTTTTTCTTAAAAATTAATAAATAAATTATTTCTATAATTTGGTTGACATATATTTATACAGGAAACATATTCTTTCAATTATTGAGATGCTTGGGACTGAAGCTGCAAGACAACAACTTCAGTTTGCTATGAGTATTTTGTCTGCTCAACCACACATGGCTACTCCGTGGACGTTCATGTGAAGAATCTACGTTTTATTCAATGCAAAAATGACCACAACCCTACGTGTAATTTGCTGTATGGATGAATCAAATGGTAGCCGGCATTCATCGCCAGAATAACCTCGCTTGGTCCTTCAGAAAGTCTCTCGTTGTCATCCTTCCAGCTGCCTCTCGACATAAAGATCGAATTTGTGAGTGATTTTGGAAAATGACCCTATAAACAAACCTGCTTGGCTATACTTGCTCTGGTTTGTCCGGATGTATGTGAAGGATTTCGGGATTGATACCATAGAAGCTGAACTTAGAGACGTGACAGATGTGTTAAAGTGTCGAGATAACATGCACGCTTGGTGCTACAGGCAGTGGCTTGTTGCCGAGAAAAATCCAAATGGTTTTAAGTCTCAGTTTGCTGAGCCGATTATTCGTGAGGAATGCAAGTTGACTGGTCAAGTTTTAGCTGACAACATAAAGAGCATCTATGCCTGGTCACACAGAAAGGTAGACTTTCATTTGCATAGCAGTTGGGTGAAAGCTCAGATTTTTATATTGTTTTGTGTTAGTCAGGTTAGAGTCGTAAATGGTACACATTTGTTTATGCAGTGGACCATGGAGAGATTTGGGGGTTGGAAAGATGAACTTGTGTTCTGCCGGCAACTCCTTGAAAATGACATTCGAAATACCTTAGCTTGGAACCAGGTACTTTGGTTTCATCTTTCCTAACTTTCCAATTTGTTAGCTTGGGTACATTCATATGTTTTTAACTTGGGTTAATTGCTAAATAAATCTTAATCTTTTTGCATTTGGTAATTGCAATATAATCTCGACCTCAATTTACTTCTTGCAAATTTGGGTGCAGAATGATTGATCTTAGGGATTTGTGGACCGATTTTGTGTCCAAGTCTTCCATTGACACGGGTTTTATGCCATCCACGTAGCAAGTTGACAATTTCCATGTATTTAATGTATATCCACGCACAAAGCCGAAAATTCCACGTCGATCTAAGCTAGTGATGATGAGTCTCCTCGTAGATAACCGGTAAATATGAGCTCCGATCTATTCGAACAGCCTTCAAATCAACCAATTTTTTTGAAGGTTCGACTTGCAATAAGTAAAATGAGTTCTAGATTATATTGCAATTACCCAGAGATTGAGATAAAATTGTCAAACGCAAAAATGTTAAAGGTTTATTTAGCAATTAACCCTTTTAACTTTTATGTTTGTTCAATTTCAGTTTTATTATGACACTTCTGGTGGTTACTTTGTACATCGAGTGGGTGTTTGAGAAGCTAACAACTTTTTTAAATAATAATAAACCAATATCTATCCTTGTTGCTTCTTGGGAACTAGGAAAGTGCGATGCACGTGATGCATGATTCTTTTTTATTTTATATTTTACATTTTCTTATATTTTATATGGTTATTATTTTTTTGTATTATTAGTTTAATGAATGTGTATGTAGTTCAAAAGTTGCAATTTCCCCAAAAAAAAAAGAAAAAAGAAATACTTCATGTTGAAAATTCCAAAAGCAATGTATAGTATACATTCCTTTTTTTTTAAAAAAAAAAAAAAAATTGATTGAACATTCTTTGTAGTTTGGGTACCGATGAAGCTGTTATGGCTAATGCTTGCAGAGAAAATATTGGCTATAAACAGATTATTTCTAGTACTTTCCAGGGCCACCACCATCATCATCATAAAAAGAAAAGTTGTTCTTGTTTGCAGAAAACCTTCATTATCATGCGTTGGGGCCAGCAAGTATCTCAGGAAATAAGGGAACTCGAGTTAGAGTTTACTGAGAAGGCCATTTACAAAGACCGAGAGAGTGAACATCCGTGGATGTACTTAACATGCCTATACCAGGCTAAGCCCTTTGTGCATCAAAGTATAGATCTCATCTACGAGTCCCTTACTTGGGCCACAATGAGGGACCCAATAGATGTGTTCATGAACAGAAGGTGGTGTGTTAATGTTCTGGACACTCTTTTGCATCTTACTTCCCTCGGTTACAAACCAAACGAGAAAGTGCGTGGTGCGGTATTTAGATTATGCTCGAACATCAAGTTAGCTGCTGACATCACAGACGGGTCGCTATGTTTCTGTGCTGTTACTGATAACAAGTGTGAAACTTGCAGATTTTGTTTGATTTTGATTTTGCAGCATGTCGATCTAGAGGGTCATCATCCTTGGGAAGTTGTGTATTGATGTGGTTGATTCGCAACCAAATTCCGATCAAAAGTTGATCCCTTCAGAACTACTTGATCTTCTGAATGATATTAATGATCTCGAGTATAGCCCTATTCCATATTTTTGGCAAGTCTTTTAAAATCGAGCTCAGAAGCATGATGAATAGTGTAGGAGAGTGTGGTGCGTGTTGTAATGGTATTTTAGGCACTTCTTGTCAGCTCGGGCAATTAGGCGGAGCCTAAGCGGTTTAGCCGCCCGTGTGTGTATGTATATATTAGATATATTAAAAATAAATTTGATTTTTATACACGAAATGTACATTAATTATAAAATAAAAAATAATAGTTATATAAAATTCATATAATAATTATAATTGTATAATATTTTTGTATAATATTTTAAAATTCATATAGAATGAAAATCGAGCAGATAAACGAAAGTTGAGACACATAAATATACATCCTCCTTCAGAATTTAGGGGTGAGCATCGGTGCGGTTCGGTTTTTGACCAAACCGCACCGCAAAAAATCGAAAACCGAATTTTTGAAATTTCTTAACCGAATTGCACCGCAAGAGCAGAAAAAACCGAACCAAACCGAACCGAACCGAACTTTTCGGTTCGGTTCGGTGCGGTTTTTCGGTTAACCACAATAAAAAAAAATAACACAAGTTAAAGAAGAAAGCATACAAATTAAACTAATACTAGACTTAAACATCCCATTACAAAAAAATGCCACAGCAGGTCCAAAATGCCCAAAATTTATTGAAGATCACCATATAAAAATGCCCCAAATTTATTGAAAATCCAAAATTAGGGTTGGGTTAGATTGAAGGAGGACAAAATGGGGAAAAAAAAGACAGAGAGTGAGAGCTGACCGAGGACGCCGGACCGTAGGACGGTGAGCAGCGAACGGGCTGAGCGTTTGATGGTGAGAGTGAACGAGCGCCGAAGTGAGATTGAGCGACGAACAGGCTGAGCGGACGACGATATGCAATCGAAATGAAATTGAGCGGCTGCGGGTTGACTTGAGAGTGAAACTGAAAACTCGAGGTTGCGACTTGCGGCGGACTTCCGGATGCGGGGTGAGAGACAAAGAGTACAGATATAGAAACAGAGAAAAAGGAAATTGAAAAGCTTTAATTTACTAATGTTGTTAATTAATTTTAATTTAAGAATACAAATGAAAGCATGTTGCCTGCAAGGGTGTAACGTGTTCTGTATGATAGTATAAAACCGCACCCTTCGGACACAAAATCGAACCGCACCGAAACTTTTGCGGTTTTGAAAAATCCAAACCGCACCGAAACCGAATGTTTCAGAAACCGAACCACACCGCACCGAATGCAGCAGTTCAGTTCGATTTTTCGATTTCGGCTCGGTTTTGCTCACCCCTACTTAAGATGGACTATCACTTGAAATTACTATAGGTTACGACTAATGTTTCTAAGATGCAATGACTTACAAAGTACTTCTGCACATAGTAATGAGAACTATGCATAGTTGTACTTCTGCACATAGTAATGAGAATTGGATCAATTTATTTGACATGGCAGATTGTGGAAAAACAGATTTTTAGCCCCACAACAAAGGACATTCTACAGTCAATTGCAAGTGAAAGTGGGAAGAACATCAACCCAGGGACTTTCACCTCAGCAGCCAAAACACGCCTCAGCTTTGAAACCCAAGCAAACTAGGCCGAACTTGCACATCGAGAGCTTCCTAGTTTAGTATACATGAATAAATACATCCCTTGTAATGAAATTCTCGGAATAAAATAAGTGAATGTAGAGGACAAAAGACAGAATGCCTTGCTACGAAATATAACGTTAGCATATTACATACCCATCATGACCATAGTAAATGTGTAACAACTAACAAGCAAGCTCATCCTCCTCACTACACTTCACAGATCATATTTATGAACTCTTCTTGTCCAAAATGGAGCCCTCCACCCATTCGCCAAGTCCAATATATAACGAATTTGCTCTACGGGTCTGGATTTCTTTACAGTGATAGGATAAATATCAGCCAATGCATCTCGGACCGGTTTCGAGGGGTAATAGCCTAAGATGGCTAAATGAAGAAGCGCCTCCATAGCACATAAATATTTTTTACCGCGCATAGTAATGTTCATCCTGATGACATTGGAGTCCAATTCCCGTTTAGTGAACGGAAAGTCCCAATCGAAATCATTTCTCGTGTCAATAACGCGGACGAAAAGAGAGTCGAGCTTCTTGCCAACCTGTTTTCTCAACTCAGACTTACTCTTACTATCTTCAACCATCTCACCGCCCCGAATTTGTTCGTAAAGATGCCAAAGGTGCCTCCAAGGGAACTCATTTTCTGGGTCTTTTTCTATGGCTTCCAAGGCATAATCGAATTCTGCAATCCCTATTTCGCAACTGAGTACAGCAAAGAATCTCTGCAAACAAATGACATGAAGATATGAAACAAAAAGGATAAATTTTCAACTGACAAGAAACTGATAACATTTGTTATCATAAAGAGGGAAGTAAAACATGGGACAATTCAAGAATAAGTCTTCAAATCTTATGTTAAAACTAAATCCCCAACCTATGTTACCCGGACTCTTCTATTTAGGAAGAATACCCATGTCATGTTGTGTCGACACTGGTGTGTGTATGAGTGTCGGGTGTGGCATTTTAGCCTAAAATGTTCAAGATTTCTAAACTATTTACGAGTCGGACGCTCGTATCTCCACACCTGATACGCCACCATATCCGAGTCCAGGTAGCATAGCCCCCAACAAACAAACACAGTGGAATGACAGAATAAAATAGCACATCTAGAACACATAACCATAGTGTAATATATATATGTATATATTCGGATTCTTTTGATACAAAATAAGAGTAAAATACCTGAACCCAAGCTTGCTCATCATAAGTGTCCCTTTGAAGACGTTCAGTGCAAAACGCAAGTTCATTTTCCCACCCCCCAAATGTATCGAGAACCCACTGCATAATGAAATGATGTAATCTAAAGCTACCGATTGACAAACAAAAACAATTTCAGAAGACAAAAGAAAAGGTGAACTCCGGCCTACCTTCCTATGGAACCAAACATTCTCGTTCTTCCTATCCATATACAGATGATTCTTTGTGACCAGAAGTTCAAAACTTGCACCCTTGGTTCCGAGCTTCTTACAGAGAAAGCGCCTTTGCCGCCTACAGATATATATATAGCATCACAGGTTTAGGGTGATAAGTGAAGATGGAAATAAAAAAAGGATTTAAGTCTTGATATGCATATTCAGCATCAATATCAATAACATGGAGCTGAAATACTTGTGAAGAATACAATATTACAAATTTTGATTAGCTGAAAAATAAAGTATAATAATGTTTTATAAAATTTTCAACAGATAAAAAGCATTGACAACAATTATAATGTAATTGTAACTCCAATGGATCTCCACATCAGTTTCCCGTACTCAGACTCAATAATAGTATTAATAACTCAGTGAAATAAATCACCAAAGCAATGTGAATTAGAAGAAAAATTATTACAGCTCACAAGTACCACACTACACATTAACCATTGATTGTGTGTGTATGTGTGTTTGTTTTGAGTAGATTTATATTAGCATCAGTTAGTAGGATTGGTTAAAGAAATATTCAAGTGAATTTCACTTGGAGTTAAGTTGATGAGGAAGCTCCTTTTTGTTACACAAGTCATTCTTAATGTACAAATCAAGTACCATCCTAAAACCAATGAATAATAAAAAGTTTTCATACCTGAAATATAAGCACAGTCGTCGTGCATCTTTGACATGATAAAAAGTTTCGATAATCCGGGAGTGGTTGATTTTACGAGGTCATATTATACAGCAATGTTTATAATCTATAGAATCACATTTAGTCTATAGAATCAGATTTCTTCATACATTTACAGAAATCTTATGAAGATTACTTAGTCCCATTCCCATAGGTTCCTGCTTTCTAGGGATTTCGAATATCTTCTCGAAGGATAGCTCTCCTATAAAGTATATATAATTGTTGACTAAGATAATAGCACAAGCATCAATGAAAGAGGGATTTCTTTCTCCTTTTTTCTGACATAAGTCTGTAGCATACCAAAAATCACTGCTGCAGGGATCCATTTTTGTAGAAGTCCATAGCAAATCAGCATAATATTTGGATAGTTGCTCCTGAAATTGAAAGAAAAGGAAAATGAAAGCTTATATTCATTTGATAAGTAGCTCTTAATTGCAAAAGATTGCCTTCCAGCACGAATAAGAATAAGAGCGTATATTAATTTGATAAATAGCTCTTAAACGCAAAATATTGCAGGAGGAGGAGGAGGAGGACAAGCTTTAATCAATGGATAGAACGTGAAGCAATTGACCGACTACTTTATCAACTAGCGTGTGTATGTAAAATCCCAACTCCAAAGCTATCAACTAGGGAAACTCATCTTTCGGCAATCACGAATTAGTATTATAAAGTATAAACCAATCAATGGAAAACAAAAAATTTGTGCCAGAGTGGAAGGCTAAATAGAAAAGGCTTAGACAAGAAATAGACAAACAGATAGAAAAGAGTAAACTACCGCATCAGGTGAGCTTGGCTGTGTCACTTTTCTCAGTGGCAGTACAATATACTCCCAGGGCTGCCGGTTGACATCCTGCAAGAGCTCTCTCAATCCACTGCATTGCTGATCTTTCCTACTTTTCCCAGCCATTATCTCAGATAAAATGACCGTCTTTCACATCTTACCCTACAAAACCTCCAAAGAAAAAGAACATCAGCAATTAACTGATAGCTATATCACAAGGATATGAGCATAAATTCCTTGAACAACATAGGCGGCACAACATGTCAGCCCAGAAAGAAAAAACATATTTGCCCTAATCAGTTACTAATGCAATAGCAATAAAACAAATACTAAATCCTATCAACTATACATCAAATAATTCTCAATAATGCATGAAGGCATCCGAACGAGGTACAATTTAACTAGTACCAACACCCTACGACAAAAAGACTTCACTTCCAAAACACCCTCAACACCCATCTTCCTTATGAACAGATAATATTTCCAAAGCCACATAATGGAAAGCTGCATTCTGAAATTCACACCATAATCTAGCAGCACGTTGATTGATAGCAAGGAGTAAATTGCAAAATACAGAGCCTTCTAGCATTTTATACAATCCCACAAGCTGACAACAAAACAATTGGCCCAGGACGATGTAAATTTCTACAACCCTAACACAAATTAAAAAGAAAAGGCTTCAATCAACGCATAGAACGTGAAATAATTGACTGGCCGATTTAGCAACTAACCTTATGTTAGTCCTCTAATTCCCAAGTTATCAACTAAGGGAACTCATCCTCAGGCAATCATAAATTAGTACCCACAAACAAAACGAAAAACAAAAAACTGTGCCGGAGTGAAAAGCTAACTGGAAATGGCTTAGACAACGAGGAGAAAAACAGACCAGGCCAGCAGATAAAAATGAGGTAATTACCGTATCACCACCGGCAGTTGAGCTTGGTTGTTTCACGTTTCTCAGCCGCCGCAGGAAAAGCTCCGAGAAAGGCTGCCTGCGGCCGGTCAGAGAGATGCCATCGCTCTCCCGCAGATTGTAAACCTCCCCTTGAGTGCGCGCAATTAGGGCTCCCCATGTAGGGTTGCCCCCCATGTATTACAATATTTCAAATGGTTTCATTATTTTATTTCTAATTTTAATTTAAATATAAAATAATTTTATTCTATATTACTAAAACTTTGCATTACGTTAAACTAGCTGATAAACAATATATTTTCTAAGAAAAACAAAAAAATATTACAGACAGTTTAACTAAATTAGTAATGATATGTCCACCGCTTATGTAGCATACACATATTGGTGATGTATTTTTATAGTATACTAACTTATAGTTGGAGGGGCGCGAATAAAACATTTCATTTTTATAGTATATGTATTTTTTTTATTTTTTTTTTGATAAAATTAGATAAATTATTGAATATAAAGGTTTCATTTTTGTGAATTTTAGAAAATCAAGACAAATTAATTATATTTTTTTTTTTCACTTTTGCCCTACGCGTATTTTTTTTTTTTTTTTTCCAATTGCCCTAAGCTTAATTTACATTTGAATTATTAGTTGTGGAAGTAGTTTAATCACAATGAATTGGTGATAAGTACTTGGAGCATAGATGACATTTATGTTCAGAAACCATCGATTTTCTATGTACCAAATACATGGAAAAAAAAAATAGAAAGAGAAGTGAACAATGTCAAATATAGATTTTTCTAACACCGAAAATAATTAAAATTGAAGACTAACAAGCCTTAGTTCGTTGTCTAGACATGGCACGGACCGATCCGGCCCAAAACCGACGGTTCACCGAACCAGTCCATAGATGTTTTCGGGCCGGTTCAGGGCCTTGAAAACTGTGGCCTGGAACCACCATTTGGCCATGTCTAGTTCATACTTCATACACACCAGGCGGCAGAATAATTCACTCGGGCCATGAACAAACACACTAAACACAAACTATTTCTTCTTCCACAAAACAAAAGGTTAATACTTAATACTGTTTCACTTCATCGCATTACTTCGTTTTTTTTTTTTTTTTTTNNTCCCGGGTTAGTGCAACCTCTATAAGGTAGTCTCCATAAGATAAAAATCGGAGATTAGTACAGCAGAGCGTAAGAAGAATATGGGAAAGAGAAGCTAAACTGTACGCCACTCTTCCCTTGATCATGCCCCTCCTGTTTCAAAATGTGGCAGTAGTTCACCTGAGATTGTCATGTGAAGATGTAAAGCAACATTAGAGGGAAAAAAAAATTAAGGAACTTAAGGTTAAACAAGAACAGATTTAGTTACACTCTGTCAGAAACCTAAAAGTGGTAATACAGTTTTGATATATGCATGAAATCTTTTTTTGTAATTTAACCCTTAATTCTGTTTCGTGATCAAATAATAATATAAATATCTAACAAAATGGATCAATTTACCGATGTCCCATACTAAAAAATCTAACCGGACCTGGCAATATTTACAAACAAGTGGACAACAAACAGCCCATCTAAATTTGATAACAAGAATCACCACCAACTTGAAATGTAGTTCCACTTCATTTTGCCACAACCCTTAGTTTGAGTTGAAGGAATTATCTGACTACATCAATTGTTCGGCAAATTCACCCCTCAACTTAAAAAATGTACAATTGCTCCAAGTTTTTCCTAAAGCTATTTGTAATATTCAAAAACATCAGGATGTAAATGGAATATGCAAGATGCAAAATTGGAGTTTCTGTAATATTTGGAAATTGTGAGGTATGTAATTGTAAATACTCCAAATTGATTGGTTAGTGTGAGTTCTTTCATGCAATTATGCAATCTGCGAATAGGAATCCGTTTTCTGAAAGATCTTGGCTGTGAACAATTTCCTTTGGCTCCACAAATGGCCGGTGCAAAATCTGATGCAAGTTGTGTAACCTAAAGAGTGATTCTGAAATTTCCTATTCCCCAAATTAGGTTGATATTTTATGTAAATACTACAAAGTACCATGAGGGTAGTTTAGATTCTACTTGTTCCCTTGAACTATATAAAGTTAAAGAAAATTTTTGGTAACTTCTTGATTCCTGCTTTCTAAATTTATTTCAGTAGATTTATATAGAGAATTTCATTATATTGACAATTTTTCTAATTAAAAATACAGATACAGCATATTTTCATGGTAAAGTTTCATATAGGAACAAATTTTCATCCTGAAGATGCTATGAATCAAAGTCACATCCAGTGTTAGCAAGTTAAAAGCCAGCAAAAAGGAAAAACATGTGAATAACAAACAAAACTGATCAGAAAATCAGAATCATTTACCTCCATCCGGAATTTCTTGAAGGGTACAATGAGTCCAACTCCCACAGTGCTTCGAAAAGAATCTTGGAATTTCTGCAGAGACAACTCCTTGTACGCGTTCCCACTCAATTTGTTCAGGCTACCAGTGGAAGCAAACACGTGCCCATGTATACCGGCCTTCCTGAAGCCCTTCAGAGGCAGATCAAACGAAAGGTCTGCAAAGGCAGTCATAGCAAGATCCCCACCAATATGATCTACCGCAAAATAATCAGAACTCTCATCACCAGAATCAGCTCTCACAAATCTCCTAGGCTCCGCGGGGCCCAGTCCCCTAGCCTTGAAACCCAAAACAGAGATGGGCCCACTTAAGGAGCACACTGGAGCAGTCTTTCCGCCCATGAAGAACCTCTCGGGCAAATATGAGGACATACTCAGAGATCCTCTGCTCCATGGAACTAAAATGCCGGCTGATATTCCAAAGTTCAATGCAGCCCGGTAAAATCCCAAGGGGATTGCATAACGAAGATCAAACTCCTGTTCAGAATATAGGATATAAATAAAAGAAATTACATTACAAACTTTCTCATTAGCATTTGTATTCTAAAGGGTTCTGCAAAAGCCAACTTAGAAGTTATACAACAAGACAACAAGTTCTCCTAGCTATGCATTCTAAAATTTGTGGCAGTGAGAAGATAGGGTAAATCGCAGGAAAATGATAAAAAACAAATTACTGATCCAAAGATAACCCAGCCTGACCTAACACATGAGGGCACTAAAGTATATAGCAATCTGAATTACGATAAGAGGACTTTATAATCAAAGTATAACAACTTTACCAAGAAAATTATAGAGAAAGATGGTACCATATGTTTTCTTGCCTGGTTTACAGGCCAAAATAAATTGAAAAAACAAGAGAAATAAAAACAACAAAAGGCCAGCAAGAGACCTGACGAATGAAGCGTTGGCTCCAAGCACTGGGAAAAAGCCCACCAACTTGAGTAGTTGAAAGAAAGGCATGGCCTCTAGTCGGCCTAAGAGACGAATCTCTTCGGTCGACCTTAAACGCATACTTCAAGGACGAGAGCAAATTATGTCCAAGCTGCCTCCTTACAGTGTGAGATGACATTTGAGAAGGATCTGTTAAAGTACACCAGGAGAGGTTGTAGGATAAGCTGTGACTCCCAGTTTCCAGTAGACCGAGTGAGAGGCCAAGGACTTGCTCTTTATACGAAGAAAACTTCATCCAGTCCTGGGAAAGCATAGATATTCTTGCAGACAATGGATTAGGAATTCCTTTGAATCTGGGCAATAAAAATCCTGTGCTGACTTCCAATGCTTGACCCCAGCCATAACCCAATGAAGCATCCCATAGATCTCCATAACCGAACAGATTCTTCAGCCTGCCAAATGCTTCTAGTGACCAAGTTCTCGCCTACAGAGACACTTGAGTGTATCAAAAAATTAATCTCTATAACTAAGATATCATCCATACAACAAGAGGATGTAAATGAAAGTGATGGCGGGGAATACTTGTACTGTTTTACAAACACCAGCAATTTAATAGTTCGTGAACATGTTCGGTTGAAAGAGGATTAGACACATAAGTTCAGCTTCCAATCAAGTCATGAGAAAATCGTATTCCACCAATGCATACTATAACTAACACTATATCGAAATTATGTGGAACCATGCAGTTCATAAAATCGAAGCTACAAAAACTCCCTCCTTATACACACTGACCCGAATAATTTCAACCCAAATGAAACGCACTGCAATTTATGACAAACTCCAAACTCAAAGCAGTGATTAACTCACAGATGCTTTACTTACAGTTCCAACGGAATCTACAGACAAAACCCACCTTATACACAACAACCGAAATATTTTCAACCCAACCGAACAAGCAGCCGTTAACTCGCAGATGCAAACAATCTGCTTTGATTACTGTTCCAACCGAAGCTACAGATAAAACCCACCTTATACTTACCAACCCAATCGCATTGAACTCACAAAATTCCAAACTCCAAGCAGCGATAAACGCACAGACACAAACAGTTGTTTTGATGACCGTTCCCCAAACTTGGATTAAGGAATGTAAAATGAAGAATACAACAGAAACGCTAGTAAAGAACTATTAAGTTACATCAACTTGTCAAGCAAAAATGATCAGTTACCTCAGGCTTTGATGTAACACCAAGTTTTCCGAAAAATGGGTACGCCTCAGAAACCTCGATGACGATGTTAGCGGTTCCTGGCAACTCCTGAGGGCCCGCGTCAAGGGTAATATTGACCGAATCGAAAATCTCGAGACTCCGCAGCCGTGAGCTGGCAACATCGGCGGCACGTAGCAGATTCTGGAAGCTAGCAGCTTCCCTGAAAAGCGACTCGACCTCCGCCTCGATCACGGAGTCCTTGGTCCTCCTGTTCCCCTTGATGACGATGTCATGTACCCGGACGGCGACCTGGTCCGTCGAGAGACGCCTTAATAGGGAGTCCATGCGGGCCTGGTCCATCCGCATTCGGGCCTCTGGAGTCATGGCTTCGGGGTCGTCGTCTTCTTCCACCTCCTCCTCCTCCTCCTGTTCTGTCTCCTCGGCATCTTCGATTTCCTCGTAGAGTTTCGGGTCCGGGCTCGAGGTCTGCTTCGAGTTGAGTCTCGGGTCTGTATCGGAGTTAGCTTCCATGGACGGAGTAATTGTTGTTTACAGATTGTAGTGTGGATTTTTTAGAGAGAGAGAGAGAGAGAGAGAGAGCGGAAGTAGTGCGAGTGTGCGACGGACTGAGAGAGTGATGGCTTGGGGGACACGATTTCGTTTGGCAAGCTTATCAATGAAAATTTTTATAGTGTAAAAGGGTGTGACCGCCTGACCGGATATAAATCTCATTAGTTTTGATTATTATCTTTTGTTTAAGTATAGTTAATCAAAAAAATAGTTGAGCAAATAAATTTTGAGTTTATATTAAAATAATTTTTAAAATAAATTAATTAAAGTTGATTTGATGTAAAAATAGAAAAAAATGTGATTGAAAATGATTATTAGTTAAAATTATATAAGTGAACAAATAATTAATTTAAATTGAATTAACGTGTAAAAATTTATATTATATAATTATATTGATAATTATATAATGCAAACAGTTTTAGAAAAGTTGATTGAGTATTTGAGTGAGGTTATAAGTTTGTATTGAGATAATAATTAAAATTGATATAATATAAAAGTATGAAAGAGTTGATTGGAAGCTATGAGTAATTAAAATTATGTGAATGAATACTAGTGAATTAAAGTTATGTGATGTGTAAGAATAATTGATTGATTTTATTTAATTATATTAATAATATTGATAATAGTGAGGTTTAGTTAAATTTGAATTGAGTTTGAATTGTGATTGGGTTTCTTTTATATAAACAATTACTAATACAACCCGTGTATTAAACGGGTGCTTGTTAAAAAATAATTCTTAAATTATAAAATTAATGAGAAAAATTATTTTAATATTTGCTTTTTTACAAAAAAATATATATTATTATATATTTTATAATGACTTTGTTACTTGTGCGACTTACTTGTGTTATATTATAGTAATTTTATAACTTATATTATATAACTACTTGAAGTATAAATATATTATATGATAAATAATTTTATTTTCTAATTAATATTAAAAAATAATTTTATTATTGTTATAAAAGATAAATATAATTTATTTATTTTATACATACAATATGAATGTTTGATATAGCCATATCATAGCGCACCGGTCCAAGTACTGATTACTCGACCAGATGACAAATACGCGAGTTGACCAACGCTAGTCGACATCCGTGAGTCGACTCTCCTACGAATCGATTCCTCTCATGTACTTAAGAATGGCCTTCAGCGGCTCTAAGACGATCTCTTAAAGTCGACTTGTGTAAGTCGACTTGTGTAAGTCGACTTAGTCAGCATATACGAATGAGTGAAATATAATCTCTAAACGCTTGAACGTGATTTGAGACGATTCGACGATACTCGAAGTCGACTAATCCTGCCTCGAACTATCAAGAGTTCCAACGAATTTCACACACTTTGACATAACACATGGAGACCTCCGAATAAGAGTGGATCCACATAGGATAAGAAGGAATCTGGATGCTGACTAAGAAGTGAGCAGAATATGAATCGACCAGGGCTTTTTGGACACTCTGCGTAAGTCGGCTAGGGCATTTTGAGTACTTCAAGTAAGTGTTTTGCCTCTATATAAAAGAGTTGAGGTAACTCCAAACCCTAACTTTCATTCTCTCCATTCATTATTCTCAGCTGCTGCTTCTACTGAGCAGAGCTCACTTCATCACTCTCATACTGACTTGAGCGTCGGAGGCTCCTCACCGGAAACACTTCCGGTGTTGAGTTATTGCAGGTGTTTGCAGCGGTCTGAAGGCGATTTGGAGGCAGTTCGAGCAGATCGTAGCCCATTACCACCGGTTCACTTCAGATTTCGAAGTAGACCCATCAAATATTAAATCGAAGTTCATCAAAAGATGATTAATTTGATATATTATATATGTAAAACTTATTAAAAATACAAAACTTATTAAGTTTTAAAAATACATTTACAGTGCAATTTTTATAATAAGAAATGATATTAAAATGCAATTAATACATGTAACATGACTATAAATAAATATTTATATATAATTTGTAGATTGAAAGTAAATTAAAATCAATCTAAACATAATTACGAAACATATAATTTTGCCACATAAAAACTTGAATTTTGAATTTTGAAATTCAATGTTTTTGCGCCAAACTAAATGGGTCGGTCTGGTTTGGGCCTATACCCACTACATCATCGTTTTAAAAAATGCTTGAACGGAACTGGCCCGAGTATACATGAGCCAGTTGTGCGTTTTACCCGAAACTGTGGTCAACACTGACCCGACCCGGTGCTCAAATCGCCTCGACAAACTACAAACGCACCCGCCTGAACAAATTCAAAATCAGGCTATTGGCTCAGCCATACACAAACCCTTGATTCCCTCTCTGAAACTCGCACCGCCATTCAAATCCAGGTAATAAATTCCGTTCAATGTCCGACGACGGCAACGCCTTGTACGAAGATCTCTTCTCCTCGTTGAGATCCGACATCAAATCATACAATGGCGTCGATCCTCTCCTCCCATGGCTCCGGTATTCATTTCACTCTTCCGCTATCGATCTCTTGATTTTTGTCTGCATTTTACATATGTTAGATTGATTGAGCTTTCTCCCTCTTTTCTTCTTCTTTCTTCTCTCTCTCTGTGTGTGTGTGTGTTTGTGCAGTGGAATAAGGAAGATGAAAGAGACACTGCCGCCACAGCTTCTGAAACAGAAACTGCCTCGATTTCTCCAGAAATGTGCAGAGACTTTCCTGACCGACCGCCGCTATTCGAACGATTTGCGTTACATTCGTGTTTGGTTGCAATTGGTATTTACACTTTGTGGTTTGATTTTCCTATGTTTAGTCTGTTTTTTTTTTGTATTTATTTGTGCACCTTTTCGAGAGAAACAGTGCGTTGTGTGGTTCCATTTGTTTATGCTGCTAAAAGTGCTTTCAGTTGTTTGAACTGGTGCTTTCAAATTGATGAATATAAGAATATATTATGCCCACAAGTTACCTGAAGAATTGTTAGGTCCAATGATTTTAGGATTTTTAAGTTCCTCGAAACTGAAAAATGTGATAGTGTAACTGGTTGAATCGAGTTCAGCATAGCATAATCTTATGATTTTTCATTGTATCGGATAATGTAGATGGATTTTCTGGACGACCCAAAGGCCGCACTGGTGACAATGGAGAAGAATGGGATCGGGATGAAGAAGTCTCTTTTTTATCAGGCGTATGCTCTTTATTATGAGAAGAAGAAGAAGTTTGAGGCGGCTGAGAAGATATATCATCGGGGAGTGCAAAAGTAACAAGTTTTAATCAGTTGTGCTTTTGGTAACCTTTTCTCATGGGACCAAATTGTGTACATTTGGTCTAGGTCGGACAATTTTTTTTTTTACATTTGCACCCTTTTGCCAGCATTAACCAGATTTACAATATCAGTATTGTCGATATGCTGTAATATCTGGTTAAAATACTTATTATATTTCTTCGGAATTTGGGTTCAATCTTAATCACTTGATTGGAACTTGCAAGTTCCTTACTTTTTTCATGCAGTTTAATGCGAATTCTCTCTGCAATCCGTTCCATGTTCATAGTGTAACTATAGTTTTAAACTTTTAACTACAAGCTTTACATAATCTCTGCTTGTGACCTTGAATTTCTTTTTCATCTTGCTTGATTTCTGGCAGAAATATATTATGCTTTGTTTTATAAATAGCACGTTTGTTTGTTTTTCCGCTTTTCCCCTTCTTTTGTACTTCATTTTGTTTTTCATTAATTTTCACCTTGTACAGCCTTGCAGAACCTGCGAGCGAGTTGCATAAGTCATACGATCAGTTTCTTCATCGTATGGGACGACACAAAAATAAGAGGCTTCAGGTATTTTATTGATCACATACTGCTAATACTTTATTCCATTTTTCAGTAACATTTTTCTTATATAAACCACAAGTTTTAATAATGCAGCTGCAGGTAGTGAAAAAAAACGACCGATTGGTGAATCATGATATGAAAGAGGGATATCATAACCATGTAAAGGAAAGTTCTCATGATGAAGACCAATTATCGAGAAAGGCGGTGGTGAGTGATGCTGGGGAGCAGGTAAAATCGAAACAAGACGAGAGCAGTAAATTTTGTGGTGATGATACGATTGTGGTTAAATTTGTGGATACGGCCATAGTTGGGAAATCCAATGCGGAAGACTCACGTCATCACGGCCTTGTGGAGCCCACCTTCAACACGAAGGAGGCCATGACAGCCATCAACAGCATGTTCCGGGAGCCAATAGAGCCACCAGTCGCCGGCAGTAAATATAAAAACCAATCCGCAGCTGATAACTCCAAAAATGGATTTAGCATTTTCACTGATGAAATTGTGGATGCCAAACGGCCGTCGGTCAAACCATTCGACATATATGTGGATGGTGAGCAAACCAATGACTTCAAAGAGAAAGAGAATGGGATAAGTATCGAAACTGGAAAATCCAGTCGTGCTGGCACATCTAGCACTCATACCGTCTTTGCTAGACCGAATGATTTCCCTCCGGAAGGTTCTAAAGATTCAAATACTAGGAGAGCCCACCAAGCTGGGTTCAGGGAGGACACAGTTGTTTATAGATTTGTGGGGTCAACAATCTCGGACGAGCCGGAGGTGGAAAATGCCTGGCACCACGGCCTTGTGGACCCCACCATAAATTTGAAGGAGGCCATGGAGGATATTAATAGCATGTTCGGGAAGCCGATAGAGTTTACCAGGAAAAGCAGGGCGAAGAAAGTCGAAAAAGTGCCCGATACGGGAAACAACGGTGGCGGGTTTCTAATACTGCCTGATGATGAACCGGAAAATAATATTGCTGAAGATAATGATATTGGTAAACCGATGAACAATCACACAGGTTTTATGATACTTCCTGATGATGACTCGGATGATCAAGCTGAGAACAACTTGCCGAGCCCATCCGCCGGAAAAGGAAGTGATTTGTTCGAACATACTGTGTGCACAAAAGAAGCAATGGCTGAAATCAACAAACTGTTCGCAATGCCAATGGATTTCTAAGAATATTGTAAGTGACACTTTTTTATAAGTTTCCTCTTAGATTTATTCCCAATCTCTCTTTCTTTTTTCGTTTTTAAGTTTATTTAGTCTACACTCTTGATCACAGGTGATTAATTATTCTTGGAGTGCTTTATAGCCTTTATTACGTGTCAGGCTCGACGTTTTTATAGACTTAATGTAGCTTTAGAGAAGTACATAGCTAATGAACGAAATCAAGAACTTGATTTATGAATGATCTTGTAGCTTACAGACTGAATGCTAGTTCTGATACATTTCAGCACATCAACAGAAAGATAACGAAACACAGAAAACACTAAGAAGAAGATTTAAACAAAAAAACGTAAACAACAACATTTCAAGACTTCTCTCGGTTACCACAGGGTTAAATGAAAAATAACAACAACAATCAACTCAGGCTTTCCCCTTCCTTCGGAACACAATTCCCCGGGCGAAAAGCCAACGGGCCCGCAGCATACACCACGGCCTCATAGTTTGGCCCGACAATTCTCTTGCCCTCGTAACGTAATGGTGCCCCATAGAGACCGTAATTCACATTCGTGAGGAGGTTACAGTTCGCAAGAGGCGAAGAAACTAGTTTGACCTTGCATGAATGCAAAGGGTGGTCCAAGAAAGAGTGTGTCATTTTGAAACCCTTTAGCTCTCCGTAAAAGTAGCCGTTTTTGTCTGTTTTGAATGCCTTGTAGTAACTGACTCGATTTCTGTGATCCTTGCAGATAACACTAGCAATGGCCGACTGGATGGGCTTGGCCTTACCTACGTTCCAAGTCCCGTATTGTTGGCAGGTTTGGCAGTAGACGATGCCCTCGACACCCACATCGGTGACTTTTTCTGACGCCGGTTTTGGTGGCTCCGACAAGTCCGCGGTGGCCGTGCGGATGGCGAGGGAGAGGATGAGGAGAGGTATGAGGGCCATGAGTTGGCTTCTTGCCATTTATTTTTATTTTTTTCTAGTTTTTCAATGTCTTGTTGTGAAAATGTGGTTTAAAGGATTGTGTTGGGAAATGTTTGAGGTTTATCGGCTATATATATAGGTTTGCTTGGGGTATTTGTGGGGGGTCTGTATTTTGACTGTATGAGATCGACGTGGGGACGACTAAAAAGTGTTGATGGGTTTGGTTACTTTGTCTGATTATTGAGATTTTGAGAACGTGATGTCCATTTTCTATAGTTTGTAACTTTGTATTGTGAGCTTCATTTATTTGTTGCAATATAATTAGGTGATGATTGGGGGACACGATGGTTTGGTGAGTTCAAACTTAGTATATTTTGTCAATCTTTCAAAATATGATTTATGTGCAATCACATTTTTTATTTTTATTTTATTTTTTTTCCATCCATATCAGTTACACTGATTACACACAAAGATAAATATGAAGACTGTTTCATGGAAATGCGTGTGCGAGTGTATTGCTGCTATGTGGAGTAAAACCGAAACTTGAAAGGTGAATGAGTACCCTTTATTTGATTTCAAACTTTTTTTAATAATATATAACATTAGAATTTTTTATAAATGATATATTATGTTAAAGAATTAACCATTAAATCACACACTCGTGAAATAAAAACATTCACGGATTTAATCATTTTTCTTTTAATTTTATATCACATCATCTTTAATCATTATATTTCAAATATTATTTAGATACAAACTAAAATGAAAGTTAAGTCAAACTGAATTAACTTTTTATCTTTCTCAAAATTAACTCCATTTATTCAATAAATTCAATCAAATCTCATACGTGATACCATATAGATGAATGAAACCGATAAGCTAGCCAATCGAGCAGGGCAAAACCGGTTGGTCGAAAGGACCTACAGGCAAGTCGAGCGGATCTAAGGATGTAGGATTCTTCACGTCGATGAGGACGTCGCAGGTTCAAAGGAGCACCGACAGGTCGAGCTAGGTCCATTGGATGAGCTGTTTGAAACTCAACCTGAGGGCATGAATGGTCGATGGATCAACTAGAAGAGCAGAACATCCGAGCTTAGCATTGACAACACTCCACCTCGAGGTGAATTTGGGTCAGTCGCACAATTAGACCGTCTAACAAGACAGGCTAATGGATAAGAAAAAATATTGTTAAGATAAGAACCATACATGGATAGGGCCTCGTGGCCTAACAGAATTCGACAGTTCGAGCAGTACGAACATACAGTCTAGGCAGCCCATCAAGATAGCTAGTCATGGGCAACAAGGTAACACTCTTATATAAAAGGGTGATGTATGTCTACTTACACTCTACATATTCTATACTTACAGAGTTTTACACTACTGTTAACTTTATCATCTTCTTTGTTGACTAACTTGACCGTCAGAGTGCTAATGTCGGAAACCCCTCTCACCCCATTTTACAGGTCTACGAACAGGTGAAGAGACAAATCCAGGTCGTGTGAGCAAATAACTTATATTATTTAGGACCTTATTAAATAATCCAGTAATTGAAATTAAATCCAACAAAGAAATTAAGGGTGTGATTGGATATAGATTTGTGATTTGCTTTTTGGTTTTTATTGGTTTTATGTTATCTATAATTAATTTTGAAAAAGTTGGTTGTGTGATGTTTGAATGAGATTTTGAATTTGTATTGAAATAATATTTAAAATAAAATGATTAAAGTTGACTTGATATAAAACTAGAGGATTGATGATTAGAAGTAAATGATAATTAAAATTACGTGAGTGAATTAATATTGAATTAAAATTGATGTGATTTATATTGATAATATTACATGCAAAGTCGTGAATTAAAATTTAAATTAAATTTTGAGTTAAAAAATTAAATTAAATAGTAAAAAATGATTGATTTTTTATTGGATTTTTTATAACTCGTCTCTACTATTCAAGTACTGCAGTGTTCATCTTCCCCATCTCAACACCGGAAAATGGAGAAACTCATCGAGCTCTCCGACCACGAAATCCGCATCGACTTCGCATTGGACTGCAAATGCCGCACCACCATCCGCCTCAAATCCCTCATCTACAACGCCCCTCTCGCCTTCAAGGTCCAGACCTCCTCCCCCAACAAGTTCCTGGTCAACCCGCCGACCGGACTCGTCCCTCCCCTTTCCTCCGCCACCTTCCAGGTCGTCCTCAAGCCCCAGGCCCACCCACCTTCCGAATTCCCCCGCTCCCCCGCCGACCGCTTCCTCCTCAGAACCGCCGCCGCGCCGGACCTCGCCCCCGACTCGCCCGAGTCGACCCGGCCCGAGCTCCTCAGCCGGTGGTTCAACTCCGACCCCCACCGCCGGACCTTCGACGTCAAGCTCAGGGTCTACTTCGTGGGCCCCTTCCTCCTCGCACGTGCCGTCGACGCTGGGCATTTCGAGGCGGTGAGGGGAATCGTCAAGAGGCAGAGCTCGATGGTTGCCGAGTTTCCGGGTCGGGAGGCCGAGTCGCTGTACCGAGCGGCGGCTCGGTTCCCGGACATTCTGAGTTTGCTCCTGGAGGCGGGCCTGAGGGCCGACGTGCGACCGGAGGAGCTGCGGTCTGCGGCGGACGAGACCACGGACCGGCAAACGGCGTTTGGGGCGGCAGCGAACGGTGACCGTTGGATGGTGGAGATTCTCCTCGGGGCCGGCGCGGGCCCCGCTGTTGTTGACGTGGGTGGCTACCGTCCAGCCGCTGGTGTTGCTCGAGATAAGGGCCACGTGAGTAATTATTGTATTCTCTGTTGGGTTGTTTGAAATATTTTGCTTTATCATCCTTGAAAATTTGTTCTGCCTGCCTTGTACAGAGATAACGACATTTAAATCATTAAACGTGCTGATAACACAAGTAATTTTCCAAAGCTAGAGAAAAATGTTTTTCCAGAGATACTATTTTTTTTTTCAAAATTAACATTAGTTAACCAACAAAAGCTCGTTGTAGGCAGATATATTTGTATTCAAGCACGCCGTAGCTAGTTCTATATAACCGCTCATTGGTGTTTAAATGTAGACTGACGTGGTCAAATACGTCGATCGAGGCAGACAATTACTCGATGCAGCCCGACATGGACATCTCGACACCCTTAAATCCCTACTCGGGACAGGCGTATCAGCAAACTCGACCGACAACAACGGCCTGACGCCACTCCACGTGGCAGCTATCAAGGGGAATGGAGAGGCGATCAATACGCTCGTCAGGTCAGGCGCCAACATGGACCCCACTGATGCCGAGGGCCACACGCCCCTCCACCTAGCAGTCCAGGGTGGATTGACCGACACCGTTCGTATCCTTCTAGAAAGAGGGGCCGATGCTAATGCTAGGACCAATAGAGGCGCGACACCTGTTCGAATCGCCCGGTTGATGGGCCACGACGATATCGAGCGACTTTTGGTGGCCAATGGGGCATCTTCATGATTTTCTTTCTTTTTTTCTTTTTAAATTGTATATTTGGAGAACTATTTTGCAATAATTTGCATGAACTGTATGGTTTTATGTATTGCAGCTGAAAAATCACTGTATCATAATGTGATTATGTAAGCAAAATCATAGTATTTTGTATGATTGTCCCTTTTTTCTACTTGACCCTTTGGTATTTAATGACCCATTGATTGATCTGATCCAATTATCTCTATATGGTTTGACTGAGCAATTTTTTGATGCATTTACGGAATTAAATATGAGACAGTAGCCATCAGTTATGGATCTTGTGTTATTGATTTTTTATTTTTTATTTTTTATTTTTATACTTAATCAAATTAGCTGTGTGAATATGTTGAGCAGAACTTAAGAGACCACCACCCAACTACTTTAAAATACACAAATAAATTATTGAGTTACAATGCTAATAACAATTTTAAGCGGATATTGTCCAACTATTTGAATAGAAATGCATTATCAAATAACATACTTTTATTTATATTATTTTTTAAATTATATTTTTTTTAATAAAAGTATCTTTGATGCATCTCATTAAATAACTTTTATTTTAATTTGTTATGCCGCAAATTCTCGAATCGCTCGACCGCTCCTCTCGAACTGGGTTTGATCGTCGGTACCTGCAAAACACGCTGGGGGTGGTCCGACGTGGACTACGACGCTCAAGTAAGTGATATTCCCGGAAAAAAACGGCAGAGTGTCGAGATAAGCGTATGTGTGGGTTGTGTAAATGAATGAACCATGTGCCCTTTTATAGGTGAAGTTGAAGACACTTCGTGGAACAAGAAGTCTTTCCGGTGTTTATCTCTCAATCAAGTCAAGAGATCCCGAATTTTGAGAGTCTTTGAGGTGTGAACATCATCGTGACTTGTTCACAAAGCCACCTTCGTGCTCTGGTTCCCTCGGCAGAACCCTCTGGCTGAGCGGCCTAGGTGCCGAGGTGTCTAGCTGCTGAAATGTTTAGGTGCCAAGATGTCTAGCTGTTGAGATGCCTGGTTGCCTAGCTGGTGAGATGCCTAGGTGCCACGATGCCTAGCTGCCTGGGCGTCTAGCTGCTATGATGCCTAACTACCTAGGTGCCTACCTCATCAATCTCTTAGTATCCGCCTAGCTCCTACCACATATAACTGTAACTAAACTTGGATCGCGACCGATCAGAGGCGAACCCCTACTAATGGTCGTATCACATAACTAGTTGAACCACGCCTAACTGGTTGAACTCCGAATAGCTGACCCATTTTTGGTATATCACCAAAGTGCTCATGCCAAACTAGCCCCTTGCCTAGCTCCTATTCAATATAAATGCAACTAAACTCGGGACACAATCTGTTCTCATGAACCTTTATTTATGACCATCTCATAAATTTGTATTTTGTATATAAAATGAAAAAAAATTTATTTCTTTTGTGTAGTATATGAACTAGAATAAATGAATAGTTGAGCATAACTACCCACTCCCTAGTGGCTCAGTCATAACTCATACCCATCACGTCATAAATCGCGCCTTTCTCTCTCTTTCTCACTCTTCCCGACATGCATCCTTCTCTCCTCTTCCTCTCGCTAACCTTGCTCCTCCCACTCGCCACGGCGGCGCCGCCGCCGCATCTCACCAGACACCGCCGCATCCACGCCAACGCTCCGCCGCAGGAGCACATCGAGGTCGCCCGTCCGCTCCCCATAGAGTCCCTCGACCTCTCGTGCGAGCTCCCCATCCTCTCCCACGCCTTCGGCAACACCATCGACCTCCCGCCGACCAACGACACCTACTCCCCACCGCCCGACTGCGTCTGGACCAACGCCATCCTCCACCTCTCCGGCGCCTCCAACGGCTCGCAGTACGATCGCATCGCCGGCGTCTGGCTCGCCGGCGCCGAGATCCTCCGCACCAGCACCCCCGAGCCGACCGACGACGGGATATTCTGGAATGTTCGGAAGGACGTCACCAGATACTCCTCCCTCCTCCGGCAGTCCAACCTCACCCTCTCCGTCATGCTCGAGAACATCGTCAACGACGTCTACACCGGCGTCTACAACCTGAATCTCACTTTCTACTACTACTACAACGCCACCGCCGCAGACACCGTTAATCCGCCGTTATCTCTATTTACCCCAAATCGAAGGTCAATACAGGTGAATGAATCTCTGGACCTAAATAAAAACCCTGCTGATTTGATAATCCCCATATCCGCGAGCGGCGAGGAAAGCTTCTGGTTCAAAATCGAGAAGGAATTAGACGCCGTTTACCACGGGGTTCAGATTCCGTTGAACACTTACAGAGCCGTCATCGAGGTTTACGTCTCCTTTCACGGCGACGACGAGTTCTGGTACTCTAATCCTCCCGATTCCTACATCGAGACCAACAATCTCACCACGAAGAGAGGCCACGGCGCGTACCGCGAGGTACTGATAAAGCTCGACAACGACGTAATTGGATCTGTCATCCCCTTTCCGGTCATCTTCACCGGAGGAATCAATCCCCTGTTCTGGGAGCCCGTGGTCTCGATCGGAGCTTTCGATTTGCCCTCGTACGAAGTCGAATTAACCCCTTTCCTAGGCATATTGCTCGACGGCAAATCACACTACTTCGGGCTTGGGATGGCCGAGGCCATTCCATTTTGGCTGGTGGATGCGAATTTGCACCTGTGGTTGGATTACGAAATCGATCGGGTTCAAGCCGGGCCGATCAAATACAGCAGCCCAAGCACGAGCGTTGAGCGCGAGTTCAAATTCAACCAGCTCGACGGGGAATTTGAAACCGAGGGAGAGAGGGAGAGCAAGTTCTCCGGTTGGGTTTTCACGAGCGCCGGCAATTTCACGACCTATGTTACGAATAAGTTAGAATTAGAAAACACAATCGAGTTCAAAAGCAATGGTACGGAAAAAAAGGTGGAGCACGAGGTGGAGATTAAGAGCAATGTGCAGGTGAAATCCGGTGTGGGAGCCATAATCTCAGCTCTTACAGTTGAGAGAAAGCATTCTCTTGAATTCACGACCGTGAATCTCCCGGGCTCGGGGGAAGGTAATTATCTGGTGACCACGAAATTGGAGCAGTCGATGAAGGAGGAGAAGAAAGTGGAGGAAAACGGTAGTGGAGAAGTTCAGAGCAAATTGGATAACAAGCAGAAAGCGAACGGGCTCGGCAAGTTTGGAGCAAAGGTATAAGGTGGAGGATGTTTTTGGTTGCTACACAAGACGGGTTTTGGCCGATGGTGGCTCGATCAGGACAGACACGGAGAATTTTATCTGTGGAACAGCTGCTGCTTCTGGATCAATTGTGATTTGGTAATTGTTGTTTGGGGTAATGTTTATGTTTATGAGGGTTATTCTGGTTTTTTAGTTTCTTCCTATATGGACTTGGCCTTTTCAACTCTTTGGAGTGAAATTTGGGGTTCTATGGCTTGTTTGGTGTGCATTTTTGCATTCTTGATTTAATAATGATGGTTTTGCAGAGTTTTGTATGTACAGTTTATGGCTCTTTTCAAGGTTTTGAATAAAAAGCATTTTCTTGTTCAAATTCTCTTTCCCAGCAGGTGATTTATTACAATTTGTTTTACCATCCCAACTGTTCATGCTTTTAAATATTACTTATGAACGAGCAGAACCATGCTCGAGTATCAGTTTATTTATCAATATTAACGAATAGAACTCGAATCTTAACTGAAACTTGAACTTTCACAAGCCACTGCTCGAGTATCAGTTTATTTATCAATATTAACTAATATAACTCGAATCTTAAGAACTGAAACTTGAACTTTCACAAGCCAAGCTAATGTGAAAATTCATAAAATTACACAAAAACACCTATGCTCGAGTCTTACCCGCCTCGTTAACTAAATGCGCGCTAAACAACCTCAAGCTTGAGTTCAGTTCAATCGCCTTAACAAGCTGAGGCAAACTCATAAGTTGCTTATTTCATTTAACAACTTTATTGCGGACCATATTCCTCAGACTGATGAAATTTCAAGGGAATATGCTGCCCACAGAAAGTCCTAATAATGTTGGGAGCAAAGGTTTCATACATTTAAATCAAAGGGTCACAAACTTCAGTACATGAGAACAGAATAAACATGGAGAGGTATATGTTCGGTACAACTGACAAATGTAACCAAAATTTTGTAACAACACACTCAAAACTGAAAAACATTTTCTTGCAATGAGATCACTGCAACTCAGGTTGAAAAACATGGAGGAACAAGGTACAAACAAAAATCTGGTCCAACTCTTTAAATATTGAACTAAACAAGAACAAAATCACTCGGTTATGCCAGTTCCAGAATTTTCAAGATCAATTTCACCCATTCCAGTATCTTCTTCCTCTTCACTGTCCTCATCACCACTGACCTCTTCATTTTCACGTCCAAGCTTGGCCATCTGCTCGGCAAGTAATTTATCCTCCCGTTCGCTCACCTGATAAAAGATCACATTCACCATATATTTGTTACAGCCAAAAAAAAAAAAAAAAAAAACAGAGAGAGAAAAAGTCGTGAATGACAGGGCAGAAACAGAAAATACCACTCTGCAGTAAAGAGTGCGTGTAAAAATTTTTAGAAACACATCAAATTATCCTTACCGCTCTTGGTGCTTCCTTGACAGTAAGTTTTCCTTTGTTTTGTTCAATTTCTTTCGTGCATAAGTCAATTGCCTTATTAAGGATTGCAATACCTTGCTCCTGCATTACAAAATAGCAATGGAGCCAAATGGAAACTACACTAAATTCATATGTTACACAATATTGAAAATTTGAGATAAAATAAACAACACGCGAAGGACTGACAAGAAATATCACTCAAAAGCTAGAAAACATGATTGAGAATGAGAATTAGATTGTTCATGCTAAGCTCCATGACATGTATACTGGTTAGGAACCTCAACCAGACAAAAGGTGTGAGCGGTTGGGAATGGGATTTGTTTCAACTTATCTCTACCTGGTATGAAGTCCCACAATACATTTATAACAAATTGAACTTGGATAACAAAGGACAATGCTGATTTTACTGAGAAGTGCAGATTCAGCGCCTGCTGCCATGTATTGCAGTGATAATTTTCAATTAAAATTTCAGTCAATCTTTGTCAACCTACACTTGTTCCATCAATTACAAACATTGGTGAAAGGAATTGGGACTGTGTTTCTAGCAACATGAACAGATAAGAATAAAATAAGTATTATAGCAAATTGAAACAAAGTACACTAACAGTTAAAAAACATGAAGCAGAAAACAAGATGACTTCAGTCCAAAGAAATCCAATAGTGTCGCGTAACATGTTTTCTAGAAATTGAGTCCAAACGCAAAGAAAATAATGCTTGTGAAAATAGACAAAAACTGGTACTAGCGCACAGATTGTGAACTGAGCATAGTGAAATATCATTATAAAGATGACTAAATGTCATGAACTAGTGATGAACTAATTAACGGATTTGATTGTTATCTAGAGAAACTGATAACTACAATAAAAGGACAAGCTGTTTGTCAACTGTTATACAACACTAGATACATGACTGAAGTATTTTTATTGCACAAGCATTTATGCAAGTTTAAGCACTCCAAGTAGTGGATGTTTATTTTCATATTCTAATTGTACTATGTTTTACACAAGAATTCTGTGAGGCAGATATAATAATACATATACCATGAGAAAGAAAGCTCTTATTTCCAAAAAAAATGAAGCTAAATACATCACCTACTTCCCGTAAAATATATAATGACTTGTCAAATTGTGTGCAGTTAGGAAATAAATAGCATGATGTAGCAATAAATCAGAAATTGTGGATAGCTTATCCAAGGATCAGACAAGAAACATGGGCTATGAGCAGCACAATTGCATAGCCAATTCAGAAATCAATCCCCCCATCTGAGCCTGTTCGCCAAAATATTAGGCTTTACCTTGTCAAGAGTTTGGGTGTTTAGCACATAAGCCGGAGGAGCAACCAGCTTAATTTTAACAGGGCAATCCTTGTTGCCAGCAGATTCAGCTTTACGCATTGCTTCCTGCAAAACTAAGCTCAAATCAGTAATTGCAGCCAAGAACCCTGTCTCGTAGTAAGATACAAAAAACCAGAAGAAGAGTATCAGATGAGAAATTGAAGGACTCACCTTTATATGCAGGACACCATCAAACTGAAAACATTTCATTTCAATGTCCGCACGAATCTTCAAAGGTTGGGGTGTCATTCTTCTCCTAATATTCTTTACTAGAGCATCTTTTACTTCGTCAGTTATAGCAGGAACCACCTTCTTCACCTACAAAAAATACATAGAACATGCCCATACCAATACTAAGAATTCTATAGTTGGCAACTTGCACATTCTTGATACGACTGAAATACGGAAACTACCTCCTGTCCATCAGGACCGACTTCTTTGATTTCACGAGTGAGAGAATCAAGCACTGAATCGGGATCATTGACTATCAATTTGAATGCCTAGAGTTTCAAATCAAAACACAAGAAAATTGAGAGTCATATATCAAGCTGTGGTGATCATAATGGCAATTAACCATCGGTAAACAAAAGTTACCTCAAATGCGTGACCGTATTTCCTGTACAATGGCCAGCCAACATGGATATAAAGATCCTACCATAAAGCACTAACCATTAGTAAACTAAACCATAAACCTCTAAGCATATTGTAAACAAAACAGCAAATGCAACATAGAATTAGAATATCAAGACTAGCAGGACTAATTAAAAAAGGACCAAATCACAAGCCCAAGACGCTAAACATAAGCCGCCAATTGGGAGAAATTCAAAAGTACCTAAACAGCTTAGCACATACTGTAAAAAAACCCAATTTTTTATCATTTCGAGATATACAAAACTACATGGATCTTATAAATGCAAAAAGACTCAAACTTGAGAAATGTCTGGTATCCTAACATTACTAATTATACAATGAAAATGGAAATGAATTAAAAATAAAATAAAAAATCAAATACAGTACCAACCTCGAGGTCAAGGCTCATGGTCTCAGCAACATGCCGCATAATTGAGTGGACAAGCTTGCTCTTATTGAATCTCTCCTCGCACGCCTGAATATCCTCTTCGGAAACACGCCTCTTGCTCAGATCAATGTAGCCCTTCTCTTTATCGACACGGAGAACCATGACTGGCTCGATGCGGCCAACCCTGATGAGGCTGCTTATGCTACGGATACGGCGGCGGGAGAGCTCGGAAAAGAGGATCATGCCCTCGATGTTGTTGTACTCGAGGAGTGAGACGTACGCGCCGCTGTCGGCCATGCTCTTCACCTGTATCATCACCGCCTGGTCCACCTCCGGGTACCTCGCCTCATACATCCTACACTCAAGGTTGGGTCCGGCCATGGCTTTAGGTCTTCTGCGAGCTTGCTAAACGGGAATTAGGGTTTCAATTGGGAGCAGATTTTAGAGCGACAGCAAGACAAATGAGGATTTTGGGTTTTAGTTTTAATTTGGTGTCATGTCTATTTTGATATGTATGTTAGGGAAAAAAGCAATAAAATCAGTTTGTCTCCAACGGTGAATGTCAATTGTAAAATAAATTGACATGTATAAGAAAATAATTAGTTGGTGGAGAGATATATATAAAATAAATAATATAATATAGATAGAAGATGTCTAGAAGTCTTTCTACATCTAGAAAGACTCCTAGAAATTTTACATGTCACATTGGATTTTTGGGAACATGTGGCAATAGAATGGAAGAATGCACACTCAATTGAAGATGCTCTAATAGTTATCATGTCAATTGTAAAATTGAGTAATTAATTCTAAAATTTTAAAAATTCACATATATTTTAATGTTTATTTTATGTTATATACTAGTACAACATCGTGAATTACAACCTCTTGAGTATCTGAGTGCTAGTTAAAAAAATTATACTAAAATTTAGAACAAACTTGAAAAAATAAGTTATTTATTTAAATTTAAATATTTTTAGCAACTATTGTATTATTATTATTAATTAAATTAATAGACACATGATAATTATTATTTATAAGTGTTGAAAAATTTGCTACTTATGAACAAGGATTAGATACAAGATAGATCAATATGTTGGATTAAAAATGATCGTGGATCAGTATGGAGAGACCGACACAATAACTAATAGAAAAGGGCATAGTGGTGTTTTACTCATGTATGTTTTTTTCATCCTCATTCTGCAACCTAATTGGCTGGATTTATACACGAGAAAAGTAGGAAGACAACGATGACTATGCGTGGACGAGAGTGTGGGAGAGTGACACGTGTCCCTATGTAAAAACTCGAGTTTTGATGACGGGATTGGTTGAATAGTCGTTTTACCAATTCTTGTTCACACTGTATAGAAATTGACAAACGATAGCAAAAGGTGCTAGGTGGAAAATTGACGCTCAAACATGAAAAGAGATCGGTACAATACGGGTCACCAGGGTTCTTGAGCTTTTCTTTCCTTGAATTTGGGCCTAAACTGATATGAGTGCAATTTCCAGCCTAATGTATACGCGTAACAACTTATGCACAACAATATATTTACTCGATATATATGTCAAAGTAAAACACATCACCAAATGATTAATTTTAAGGATTTTTTTTAATCATCCAATAGTGACATTGGTACTTGTTTAATATGTAAAAATATTGTATAAACTTATTTACTAGATTGAATTAAAGTTTCACAAATCAATTTAAGTTGTTTTTTTATCACTAATAGCTTGGTTCAACTCAAATGCTCTACCTAACATGAGCAACCTATTGTTGTTTACAATTTAGCTTTAATGGTTAGACAAGCACACATTCTCAAAACATATACATACTTTCATGCTCAATTATTATAATCTATAAAACAATATAATTAAAGTATAATATTCTCTAACATAAATATATTATATTTAAAAAAAAAACACAAAAACTACCTTATAAAAATGTATGTCAAGAATTTATTATGTTTAAAAAAAAAATCCTAAAATAACTGATCAAAACAAATTATTCTGCAAAAATTTTATATTCATCATACCTTTGTCCCCACCACCAACTCCTCCCTTGAAAATCACCACACTTTTCCATCATCGGAAAAAAAAAAAGGCCACTCGAAAAGCACAGGAGAAGACAAAAATCTCACCCGCAGCTTTTATTGCCGTATAAGCCTCGAAGAATCAGAATCCCCAACTCCGGTAGCTGATATGGCTGCCAACCCGCCGGAAGGTTACGCTTCCGACGATTTCCTAGAGCAAATCCTTGCGATTCCTTCGTACGGCGGACTCGGCGGAGTCGACGCCGCCAACGCCTCGGGGACTTCGTCACTAAGCGATGCTGTACCCCAGCTCGGTCCATCCGCCGCCGACAACCTCCACCACCCACCGCCGATGTTTCCTTTGAGCCTGAGCCTGGACAACGGCCGCGACGCAGTAAATAGCTACGGCGCCTTTGCCGTGAGGCCAGTAAGCTTATTTGTTCTTTAGTTTCTTTTTTCACCATTTTTTGGTCATGAATATTAGCCCTAAGTCAGTTGGACTGTGATTATACCCCAGCCAGAAAAGGGGAAAAAAAAATTGCAGATACTAGAACTATATGGTGTATTTACCCTGTTGTGTGATTTCTGTAAAGAGCCATTGTCATCTTTCTTAGTTATGTGGATTTTACCCTGTTTTTGCAGGAAAGGGAAGCAGTTAATAACAGCATAGGGAGCTTACATCCGGTGTTTGATCATTTACAGGCTCATGCATTTCGCCATCCTGTGCCTCAAGTTCCACAGGTTAAACTCAATTATGCACATAGTAGTACATTTGTCATATTTCTTCTAGTCGATGTAAGTGTGACGAGGCCAATGCTTACACATTTCCAGTTTCTAGGATAGGCAAATTTATTGAGATCCTATAGTTAAGTGTGTTTGTTTATGAGTTCTCGATAAAACAGTGGTTCAGAGTTGGTTAAACGGATGCGTGGTGTGCTTAACAGGCTAATAACTCTTACATAATTTGTTTGATGATAATGCTACCTAGAACAAAGATTGAAAATGAGATTGGTGAATGTATTGACCTTGTGGATCATTATAAGGCCATCTCAAACCGAAAACGGGTGGAGAAGGTCTAAGCCAATCGAAAATGTCAGCTTCGTCTGACTTGATCATTGTACATTGTATATTTCGAACATGTTTATGCTGTCGTGAACCTGGGAGGCATTTATTTATTGTTGAACTGAGCTTATTGAGGAGCTTATAAGATTTTCAGGAAAATATTAATATCTCAACTCAACAAATTCCGAACAAACTCTAGTAAGTACTTTTAGCCACATATTGACAAAGGAATATGAGACATGTTGGATTAAGAAGAAAGTCAAGCAACTTGTACACTTAATCGTTTGACGAGAGTTTTTTCAACTTTCTAATTTTGTGCAGTTATGCTATTTGGATAGGTTTTATAGATTTTACCTACCTGTAGTTTGCTTCTTCAAACACAAGCATTATACAATATATTTTTTCATGCTAAGCAGTAGCACTTATATTAGTAATTTCTTCTGCAGCCCTTTCAAGGCGTGCCAAGAGAAAGCCTGGCTGTAACCGTGCCACACCCGCCTGTCATTAGGCCTAGAATTCGAGCAAGAAGAGGCCAAGCGACGGACCCCCATAGTATTGCTGAGCGGGTATACCAGTTTTTGTGAACAAGCTATCTATATATCCTTCTTGAGGGGGAAATAACTATTTATTCTATTTCTTATTAATTGTGCATCTAAATTAACTGAAACGTCTATACAGTTGCGTAGAGAAAGGATATCTGAAAGAATCAAGGCTCTGCAAGAACTTGTTCCCAGCTGCAACAAGGTTCACACAACTATTAATTCTAGTAGCTTTTGCTGCATAGGTGGCTTTATCTTGTATGTTTGGCGAGTTCTTTTAACAGTTTAGGTATAACACTGCACCTTAAGCTGCCAAAAACAAGTCATAATTTCTGGTATTGAATCACATAAGTTGCTGACCAACCTTGCCTCTATGGTTCTCAAGCAGCATTCCCGGTGACTTTGGTGTACCTTAAGGTGTTTTCGGTTTTTTGCCAAATGGAACTTTTTAATAGATTTCTGTTTTCAAGGCCAATATGAAAATGAAGCGGTATGATTGGTAAACATGAAGTGGAGAAGGGGTCAGCATGTTTCATTTTTACTTTTCTGCACTGTACAATACATGCATATAGACATTTATCTCAGAGCATATACAACAACACGCTTTAGCCATTGTTACTATCCTGGTCCTCTTCTACTCCACGTGAATTAGCCTAGCCATACCACATAAACAAACCATGTAGACCCCCATATTTATATTTCAGAATTATCTTGATCTTCAATTTTCTGCAAGAAAAAGAGATGTGAAATAACAGTTTGATGACTATTTCAAAAATCTTGGTTTATAGACTATGTTTAGCTCATTGAAGTAACCTATTAGTGGTACTATGTTTAGCTCATTGAAGTAACCTATTAGTGGTACTATGTTTAGCTCATTGAAGTAACCTATTAGTGGTACTATGTTTAGCTCATTGAAGTAACCTATTAGTGGTGATTGATACGTTAACTAGGGAACGGGATTAAATCTGTTTTATTTAGTTTTCTATTGTTTTTGAGCTAATTTGCTGGCTTGTCCTTTGTTTTTGCAGACTGATAGGGCTGCTATGCTCGACGAGATACTGGACTATGTGAAGTTCTTAAGACTTCAAGTCAAGGTCCAATTGCTTGTTTACTGTTGTAATATTTTTGTAGTAGCATGTATGACTCTGAACTCGGTGGATCTTCAGCTTGACGCTGAGTGCTATTTAAATGCATTCATGCCCATGTTTTATTACTTTTTTGTTTCAACTTATATGCCTTTAGGCATGGGCACACGTATTATTTTTTAAAAAAATTCTTGGATTGTATGTCATAAAGTACTTTTGGTAGGTCTTAAATCTGCCAGTAACAGAAAGACCCCCAACTCCAAAAAATCTGGTTTTTGGTCACCAACCTCTTAAATTTCTTGTTGCTTTGTTAGTATTTAAATATTCAAGAAATTTCTAATTTTGCTGTCTGCAAAGTTCGCCCCAACCTTTGCTCTTTATGGGTCGCTATCATTTTTTAGCTGAAAACATAAGATAAATTCTTAAGGCACTATGAGTCAAGTTGTGCCGGTTGATTGAGTATCTTGATCTATATATCCAAGAGTCATCCCCCC